TATATTAATTGCTATGAATAATGCGCACAAACGTAAGCAAATACAGATCAGATTAAATCTGGAAAAAGAAATCGGGATTAAAGAAAAATTATTATTGCAACGACCAACAGATACTAATTTAAAAGCTTCTATTAAAATGCTTAAAGATCAATTTAACTTGCTAATTGCGGATCAGGTGGCCACCAACTTGAAGTACATTAAACATAATACATTTGCTAATGCAAACAAACCTGGGAGATGGTTGGCCTACCAATTACGTAAGAGACAAAAGGCTAGACTTATATCTAAAATTTTGGTCAAGGACCGTGAGATTTATCAACAAGAACTGATCAAAAAGGCATTTACTGAATTTTACTCGCATTTATATTCTTCAGAGACTATAAAAAGTGAAGATATTGATAAATATTTACAATCTTCATCTATATATAAACTTACATTGGATCAACAGAAACTTATGAATGAAGTGATTACTACAGATGAAATTCTAAATGCAATTAAACAATTGAAAGCTGGTAAAGCCCCTGGCACAGATGGTTTGACAGCAATTTATTATAAGTCATTGTCAGCTGTAACGTTACAACCTTTAAAAACACTATTTAACAGAATTATGTTGGGAGAACAAATACCACAGTCTTGGACAAGAGCTTTTATATCTTTGATACCGAAGGATGATAAGGAAATTTTGGAACTTAAAGATTACAGACCCATTTCTTTGTTGAATGTGGATTATAAAATTTTTGCAAAAGTTTTGGCTAATAGACTGATGCAGATATTACAACATTACGTACATGATGACCAAACTGGTTTTATATCTGGAAGATACATGAAAAACAATATCAGACAAATTGTAAATTTACTGGAATATCTGGATAAGAATAATCAAGTACCATTGGCTTTTATTTTTCTTGATGCGGAGAAGGCCTTTAATAAACTGGAATGGCAGTTTTTAAATAAAATGTTGGACTATATGAACTTTGGAGATCAATTCAAAATAGCTATAAAGGCGATCTATCAAAAACAGTATGCTCAAATAATTATTAATGGAGATTTGACAGAACTTATAGATATACAAAAAGGTACCAGACAAGGTTGTCCACTTTCTCCTTTATTATTTGTATTGTCTTTGGAAATTTTGTTGTCCAGAATTAGAGAATCTTCAATGATTAAAGGCTTAAGGATTTCTACTAAAGAATATAAACTTAAAGCTTTTGCGGATGACCTA